GGGCGGGGCGAGCAGCGCGGCGTGGCCCGGTCCAGCACTGCGTGGGGTGGTCAGACATGGCCGCAGCAGCACGGTGCATCACGGTTAAGCACAGCTTGGTGTAGCCCAGCAAAGGGCTGCATGGTTCTCCATGGTGGGGCCAACCATGGCATGGGGACAGCCTGTTCGCACACGTTCTCCCCCACCACTCCCCAGTCCCTGTGCTCCCTGGCCGTGTGGCCTGGTTGAGGTTGGGTAAAGGGGATGCTGGCAGGGCGCGGGCTCACGGTGTTGGGGTGCTCGGCTGGTGGCCACCCTCTGCCTCTCATCCGGGATGGCGCTGCTGAGGGAAGTGGAGCAGGCAAGGCAGGGTCATGGCATCAGCAGGATGCACCTTTATTTCAGTGACTCATGCCCCATGACATGGTGAAGCCCTGTTCTCCACCCCACAAGCCCTTGGTTGAGAGGTGCCCAGTGGCTGTGGCTGCTCAGCCATCCCATGCAGGGACACCAGTGCAGCGTGGCGCCAACGGCCCTGATTCGGAGACGGGCGGTGAGTCGCTGGTCTGTGCCTGGGCAAAGATGCGGTTGTGGGCACTGAAGAGGATACCACGGCTGTGGCTCCTGGGGGCATAGGGCTCATGGTGGTGATGGTGATGGGGCAAGCAGAAAGGGGCCCTGAAGGCCTCCTGGAAGCCCCGTCGGAAGTTCTCGTTGAAGTAGCCATAGATGATGGGGTTGGCACTGCTGTTAAAGAAGGCCAACCAGTGGGCGAAGGGGAAGATGTAGACGGTGACCAGGTAAAGCTGGCCCTCACTCAGCTGCCCATAGTCCATGAGCAGCATCAGAGTCCAGAGGGGCAGCCAGGAGAGAGTGAAGAAGAGGGCGACAATGATGAGCATGTTGATGACCTTGGCCTTCCTCCGGGAGACCCTCCTCCCCTCTGGCTCCTCTTGGCCATGAGCAGGTGCTGCTGACTTGAAGAGCTTGAAGGCAATGCGGGCGTACATGATGACAATGAGGGCGAGGGGGGCCACATAGATGTGGGAGAAGAGGATGGTGGTGTAGATCCTCCTCATCCCCATCTCAGGCCAGGCCTCCCAACAGGAGTAGAGGGGGTAGGAGTTGTTGTAGGTGTCCACCATGAAGTGGTGCTCCTCTCTGGTGACGGTCAGGGTGATGGCGGCGGGGCACATGATGAGCAGGGCCAGCAGCCAGATGATGGCAATGGTCACCAGGGCTTTCCTCAGTGTCAGCTTCTGCCGGAAGGGGTGGACGATGCAGCGAAACCTGTTGGAGGGCAGACACAGAGTGATGGCTTTTGGCACCTGGTGGGAGGCTAGGACCCAGTGGTAGGAAGGGAGGGTATGGTGGGTTGATCTTTACATCTGGCTTTTGGTGGCAGAGATAGGTTGGGATCTCTCCAGCTTTGGTGTTTTCAGTCCAAGGTGGGGAAGGACATCTTGCTGGGATGCCCCATGGACAGCTTTGTGGTCCTCCTGGAAAGCTAGGAAACGCTCCTGACATCCCCAGGAGCTTTCACGTAACGGAAACCGCACGGGACACCTGAACATGCTGAGGATAGCTTGGTCCCCGTGTCCCTACATCCCGGCGTCAACGTACCTCTCCATGGCAATGGCCACCAGCGTGAAAACGGAGGCGGAGACGGACATGCCCTGCACCAGGCCACTCATTTTGCACATGGTGTTGTCAAACGGCCAACCTGCAAGGGGACACCACGGAGGTTATAGGTGCTTTTGGCTTGGCCAGGTCCACCAGCAGCTCCCTCTAGATGTCCCCATCCACCGTGTTGTAGCTGGGAGATGCTAAATCCTGCTCCTAAGAGGGGACTGCATTTTTTACTTATACAGAGATGGCCTTAAGCAATGCAGATGCTTGGAGAAAACCCCCCAGATTGGTGAAAAATAGGCATATTACACTTCTTAGAAACTCAAGAAGCACGGTGGTTGTCATTTCTCCTCCCCTTAGGTAGGGCTTGAGCTGTTATCATGGGGACCGACCTTGGGATCCTCAATCAGAAGGGCTTTCCTCTTGTTTCTTGACCCCAATGCTAAGCTGTTGGCAATAAATAAATTGTGCCCCGTAACGAATAAATACAGACTCTGCCCCGCAATCCAGCTACAGCTGCGGCTAAACCTTGCCAAATGTGCCAGTGTTGCCCTTTGTCTTTGGAAATGTCAACGGACAGAGCTGAGCCAGCACAGGAGAAGATCAATGCAAGAAGATAAAGGTTTTTTTACAGTGTTACTTGATGGAGAATGGCTGAACTTTAAATAAATATGTAAATGCAGCATTAAGGTCATACTTATTGTGCAAAATTGTCCAAAACATATATTAAAAAAAGGACTTTTTCCTCCTAAAATAGTAGCTGTAAATGAAATGCTACCTTTCATTAGATGTGGTTGAGTGGCCACCACCAAAAAAACCACCCACAGGGTGACCTCATGTGTGGAGAGTAGAAGGTGGGTGATGTTCCCCACCACTTTCTCTCCCCTCCTTGCGTCTCACCGCTCTACTACCCCACTCACCTGTGATGAGATTGTCCACCAAGGTGGTGGGCATGCAGAAGATGCCCACCAGCAGGTCGCTGATGGCCAGGTTGAGGATGAACATGTTGGTGACCGTCCGCATCTGGCGGTTCTTCACCACGATGAAGCACACCAGGATGTTGCCAATCATGCACATGAGGAAGATGAAGGTGTAGGCCAGGATGAACATGGCAGCCACGGGGGAGGAGTGCTGGTAGTACGCTGAGAAGGTGTAGTTCTCCCTCAGGAGGTGGCTCTCGCTTGCAGTGAAGTTGGGCCAGCTGCTGTTGGAAGGGCCTGGGAAAAGGAAGGCAGGAGAATGAAGCTGGAAGAAGATAAAGTGATTATTCCCCTCATTACTTAATGTCCTCGGAGGTGGGTTTTCATATTCACACCAGTGCCTAGCCTGGCTGGGACTGGGATCATCTCAGTGCCCCAGCAAATCTCCTCCTTGTTGGGTTACGCAGCCCAAGGCGCCACAGCACCTTGGCTGAATTATTGTTTTATGTAATTAATATTTTCTATCATTATTAATTTATATCACTATTACTTTATTTCATTATTATTTATATCATTATTCTGATGAGGAATTAAAGCAGCTCAGAAGACATCCTGCTCTTATGAGGTTTTTTTAGGAGTGATGACGAGATCCACATCTCGACATGGCAACGCTCTGGCTGTGCGGGAACTGTATCCGTGTGGTCCCCGGCATGGCCGAACTGGGAGTATCCCTTCTACTGGAAGTCTGCTGCTGCTTCTCCTTGCACTTCTCAGATTTGCAATTTGAAATCCCCTAAAATCTTCTCCCTGGCAAAGCCGCAGTACCTAAGGGAGATGGGCTGGGGAAGAGAAGACCCTGCCCTCCCCTGATGTATAAAGTGATCATTATACGTAATTATGATCATTATCTGGGACCATGAGAGCTTCTGATGGGAGGAGGGGATGACATTTTGTCGCTGCAGATTTAGGAGGGGGAGCAGGTCTGTGCAGCACCCACCCTCGGGGTTCCTGGGCTTTACGCAAGCAGCGATGCGGGAGGATGCCGGGTGCAGGCAAGAGCTGCCTGCAGCAGTGACGGGACTCAATTTGGGCAAATCCAGGCTGCAATTTTAAGACAAGAAAAGGCAGATTTTTGCTTTAAGGCTCAGCCTAACTACTTGCAGGTCAGCCCAGCTCTGTGAAAGCACTGCGAAGTTGCTGCATGCTAGGCAGCCGTGTAATCCTCCCATCCTCATGCCAGTACTTGGCTCATCAGCCAAGATGCTTTTCCTAGCTGCCAGGACCACTGGCTTCCTGAGGCTCCTGCATGCAGGGAGGCCCTGTACCCCTGCCCTTGGTGCAGAATTTGGCCAACACATTTCCAGCGGGGCTTCACAAGGAGGGGTTGCAGCACTGGCATGGGAGAAAGAGCCTCTGCGAGAGGTCAGGGGCTGCTGGGGCAAGATGCTCTGGCCAGTCAGCATCAGGAGCACCTGCATGAACTGGCTTCGTTAGCAGAAGTGATAGCAAAGACTGTAATGAGTTTGCCCCAAATCTGTGATGTTAAGCCTGAAACTTTGCTGGACTTCATCTCTTTGGGCTATGACGTCTTGCAGCATTAGCGGACAGTGGGTGTCCTCTGGATGAGGTATCACAGGCAGCTTCAAAAGCAAGGTGGAAGATGAAGAAAGGAAAATAAGGGGCTGCTGGGTGCCTAGGTCAGTGCCGGATGAATGGATCGAGGCATCCTCTGTTTGGTGCTGGGATCTTGGGCATGGTGACAAGGGGACAGCAGGGGGGCCCAGCCGGGGGGGTGACAGACCACCCACCTCCCTGTGGGAAGGCACCGCAGGGAAAGGCTAGACTGATGGAATAGGGGCTGGGGCGAGGGGCGCTGCATACCCTTTTGGGGGATAAAATTAAATAAATCAGTTCTTGGTACTCACCTCCACTGGCCCGGCCCGGGTCAGGGGTCTGCATCGCCGGCATGGGAGCAGGAGGGCTCTGCTGCCGAGGGTGGTCGGGGGTTTAGTTTAACCTCATCCTCTCCCTGGTCCCCACAGCCCGGGACTGAGCCCCGGTACCGGTACCGCGGTGC